TAGTAATTCAATTCTTGTATAATATTATACTTTACCTGCAGACGAACACCTTCTGCCGCCACTACAGACGACCGTGTCGGCCACAGGTGTCACGTCGACCTTRGAGGTTTTGGCCCCGACGGTGACGGCAGCGGTGGACTTGAAATCCGTCTGCATTCCCTGCAACATTAGTTTCGGAACAGTGGTCGTGCTCCTCYCTGAACCAGTGTCACCATCAACGGCTGGTCTTGTTGACCGCTGTTGTTGGAAAAACGCTAAGCGCTTATGTCTTATGAGTAGCTTTTCATCGTCCACTGCAGACGGCGCAGGCACTTTGTCTGATTGAATAGTATCTTCGGCAGTCGCCGTCGTTGTCGAATACGATTTCCGAATGACGGCCATGACGATGGCGTTCTTGTGGTCAGCTGTCAGTGGTACGCCAATCCCGTAGCGGTTCTTCTGCTTACATATCTCGGCTGCTCGCTTGTCCAGCTCGGTCAGATTTGTAGCAGCCATAGCTGTGTACAAAGCCGATGGTGACRCGAACTCGTGGCGACGATCGATCCTCGATGCTTGAGCCTTTGGAACYGTCGCCGTCTTATCCAAAAAATGCTTTTCAATCTTGTCCACCCGTTGCATGAGTCGGTCTCTCTCGTACTGCGAGATTTTTCGCTTGACATTTGAACCGGCTTCCAGATCGCCACTGGCATTGGTGATGACTAGCTTCGGCTGCAGTTGTTGTACAATAGGTGGCTTGGGCGCCGGACCCTTTCTGTGGCGCTGCACTGGAGTGGCTCGACGGCAGGGCCCACGTTGCTCCTGCTGCGGCCGTGGTCCCGACCAGTTTGCCGGCGGCTGAGGTGCCCTATACTTTTTCCTGGAAAACGTACCAACCGGGCGTCGCTGTACTGTCGCAGTGTTTACTGCTTTGACGGGAACAGTGGCAGGTTCGACCGTCAATGCCGGCGGAAGCGGAGCCGCCCTCTTGTTACGTCTCCTGATGGCCGTCATAGTTCCCGTCATAACGGRCTCGTTATTGTGAGTATTTGTCTCAGCCGAAGTTGACGTTGAGTGCGGCTGACCATGGTCGGTTCGCCGTCGATGCGCCACCGGCAGTGTGGCCGCATCGATATATTCGACCACATCGTCGTCATCTGCTTTATGCCTGTCCAGTTCCGATAGGACGACACCTTTCTTGTCATTATCCCGTGACGCTCCATCTACATACGCGAAACTGTACACGGTCGTTGTACTACCGGACCACCTAGACCACGTGGCAGCGGCTGTCGATCTGCGACGTGCCGCGACTGGCGTAATTACCGCGTAGTCCGCTTCCTGTTCCACGTACGCTTGCCGAATGCGCTGCAGATTGTCCCGGAACCAGGCTGTATCATCATCGTAGTGCTTGCTCCGCCGGAACCATTTCAGTATAGAAAACGACGAATACCTGTGTTGCCTCCTTTCCGTACTGTAATAACGGCACGGAATTTGTTCCGCTACTCCTCCTGCGATACCTCCTATCGAACCACCACTGTCGATGCACCGACTTTTGTATGACAATGAGAACGTRCCAGGCATTGCAGCCATCATGTGACCAGACAAATCTCGATTTAACTAAGTTTTTACAACAATAAATGTATTAGGTATCCAGCATAATGTATTAAGAGGATGTCAGCCGACTATTTTTTTACTCTCTATCCCTCGTACAAAACTCATTCATRCAAAAAGCAAAACAATTTTTTTTAAGTTTTTGAGTAATCTTAGAGTAAAATTATACATTGTAATATATTTTTTGATTGTATTACATATCGATTTTTCTAAATATTTTCTCAAAATAATTTAATAGGTTAGGATATCTATTTTAATTTCAAAAAATTTTTTTATTTTTTAAGTCAAATAATAATAATATATAAAACCAACCTATTTTAACCTTCATAAAAATGGTCCACTATAAGTTTTGTAATAAATGATTTAACTCTAAGATTAATCAAAAATCATAAAATACAGTTTTACATTACTGTATGTATTGATGATGTTCCACGTGGGTTAGAGAAAGAAAACCGTAAACGATTTAGCATCCTCTGAACACATAATATTAAATAATAATATATTGATATTATATTAATATATCATACCTATATAAATGAGAGCGCACCATTATAATGTTTTTACGACACTTTATAAAATAAATGTAAGCACAACGGTCTAAAGGTCGTAACGTAAAAATTGTAGATTGAAATAGACTTMTTGTTCGAAAAGTGTTTAAAAAACAATTACATTTACTATGTATTTTTTATAGTGAAATGTACGTACGCTGTAGTGCTTCTGTACGATGAGACTACTACACTACCAGTGTCCGACTACGACGGATGTCTTCTATAAATATTATAGTGACAATTATATTATTGGCCGCCGCCGGCAGTATGTCAGTATATATGTATGGATGAGTGTAGGCACTGCAGAGTTGGCATGAAATCTTAATGTAAACTATTTTYGTTAATGGTATGGAAAAAAATAGTCTCGGATTATGTAAACTGGRCCCAGCCGAGCAGTGCCAATGGCATTCGTGATTAAGTATGTACCTATATACATTTTGTCACAAAAAAAAAAGTTGAAATACAAAATTATTGAGTATTAAGTAGTTAACTTTTATTTTTAAATGTTAGA